GTCAAAAGTGAAAATCGAATTTTTCGAAAAAAAGGGAAGGGGGGGTGCCAGAGATTTTCGACGAAAAAAAAATTTCAATTTCTTCTGAAACAAGTATATTTGCTTGCGGTGGTCAATTACAATCATATTAGGAGCAAAAATACCCCCAAAATCCTTCCCACTGTCGAGAAAAAAAGTCGAGTAGGTATTGAAATTTTTGATGAAATTAAAAAATTGATATTTAGTTACCGCAGTTCATAAAGCACAAATGAGTCTTCCTCTCTCGACTCCCACGAGACGGTCCGAAATTACTTCGGGCAGCTTCGGAGAATCGAGAAAGAGAGCGTGTGTCAGTTTGCCTTTGTCGACTCTCCGATACTCCATGAGCTCACGTACGCATGATCTGGCATAGGGTGAGTAGGGCCACAGACGAGATATATGAATAGACCTTTCACCTTATGGACTTTCGCGGCTGAATCTGACTGCCATACCGACCTGAAAATTCGGAGGTGATTTTAGCGGCCTCTTCTCATGGATGGCGGTTAGTTGAGACACTAGGCACTGAATTAGGATTAATGGGCAGCCAGCAGAATGAGTGCGTAAATACATGTGAGTTGACTATGGGGGGAATTGAAAAAGACAGTGCAGTATTATCAGATGGCAGACCGGTGCCCAAAGGGAGCTGCCCCACCACTTACACACACTAATACCAACCTCCTTGTATATGAGTTCTGGCGTTTCGTATCTCTTCGAGGATTCGAGAAAGGCGGCGAATGTCAGTCTATCTTTCTTGCTCTTAACACAGCCGAAATTCGATCTCGCATAATCTTGAGCCGAGATTCTCGACTGCCCAGGCATTTTTGACTTTCCGACCTATGTAGGCGTATAAGCAAAATACCATAATGAAACAAAAATTTTGTTTACGGAAATACACGTTTTAGGACCCCTTGATCATATTTTAACTATTAAAAAAAAGACATTTTTTTACTATGCTTATGAACGTGCGTTCATATATTTATACTATTAATACTATTGGGTCTAAACAACCGAATAAATTTCACTGTAATTTTTAATTTTTAAATCTGAAAATATTTGAGAATACTGTCCTATTTGTCCTCTTTGTTTAGCAATTTAAAAAAACGTTGACTCATTAAAATCAATCATGAAAATGAATGGAAGTTGACACCGCCCCTACTGAAAATAAAGGACTGGAAAATTTTTGTTCTTTCAATGAGGGAAACTCTTTTACTTAATCTTTTTCGAAGGCGAAGGCAAAAAAGTCGATTTCGCCACGGCAACAATGGTTGGACGCGACGCGTGGACATTCCCCCGAAATAGAGGATCGGCTTTTGTTTTCCAGAAACGCTAGCGACAATGTATTTTCCAAAAGAGTCGAATGTAAGGACCACTGAAGGACGCTCAGTCTACGATACATTTATGACAGAGTTTTGGGGTGCATGTGGCCTAAAGAGCGAATGAGACTAAACAGGCCTGGCAACGGGTGACGCGATAGCGGACGACCGCGTTGGGTCTCCAGGTAGCACGTGTCGAGGCATTGATTGTTTATGAATAGAGAGAGAGTAGTTAAAAGAGGCAGACGACCTGACGTCGTACTGCTGGAAAAAATGAAGACTTTGTCCTGAAGGATCTGGCCACGGAGTGGGGAAGGCGTGGGACCTTCCGGTAAGAGCACTGTGAGGAACGGCACAGGACTTACCCCAGAACCGTCAAAGGCAAAATTTCTAACATACAGGCATGTCTCTATAAATTTCAAATCCATTAATCAATATGAATTTGTGATATCATGTCAGCCAATTTCGAAAATATGGTTTCGAGAAAAACTCATTTAAAATTTCTTGTATGATTATTAACCGTTGGGTACTCTTCCTTCTAAATGGCTATAACTTTGTTATTTTTACGAATTTTTTATGAGTCTACGTTTATTATAATTGCTAAATGAAGAGGACGTGTTCCGAGTCAAAAATCAGTTGCGGGGTTTTAAAAAAGGACAGATTTGCAGGTTTGTTCTCATTAATGTTTGCAGCGTGTTTGCGAGGGATGTGTCCGATATATACATATGTATATAATCAATTTCATTTTCTTTCAATAATTCTCCATTGCAAAAATTCTACAGTATTCTTACATTTTTTTATATTTTAAAATTTTCCCATGTTATTAGAAAGTAGATATACAACGAAAGTTATACAATTTATAGTTCCTAGCATGTATAACATGTATATGTATATAACGCATGGTCGCTTCGTATGGAAAGTCAATGAATCTTCAAAAAGCGCCCAGGTCCGATTTCGAGAAATGTAAGGTCTGTCAGTCACGATGGCTTTTGTCGTTTACTGACGATTCGAACGGGTGGCGATGCCAGGCTTGCTTTCGAGAAATGTAAGCGACGTCAGCGATGCAAGAGCGAGAAGGAAAGCGAGTATCAGCCTGTTCTTCTCGGCTCTTCCGAAACTCAACGAGCTCACGTACACGCAATTGGGCATAGTGTGCGAAAGCGAGGAATGAGGAGTTTCCGGGGCCCCGATGCACAGTCTGATTAAACTGATTTCGAGTCGCAAATACGTTTCTGCCGAGTTATTTTTTTAATAAATGATGTATTACAATTTAAAATAAAAAATAGAGAATTTGCGGTGTACGTATCAATGAAATACATCCTTATGAATTTTAATAATCTTGAAATTTTTAAATACTCTTAATCGATTGATTTCTCCAATGAAATTAATCGATTAATGTCCAATGATGGACCCTACAGCTTTAATTCCGTTAAAAAATAATAAAATTTATGTAATTTTATTTTCTGTCTCACTTTCTCTTGTGTTAATTTCTGAATCTGTTGATAACGTAGCGAGTGACACGAAAATGGTAATGGGGTCCCGGGACCCCAGAAACTCCGGCCGAAAAATTACATTACGTGAAACGTCTATTCATATATCTCGTCTGTGGTGAAAGGTCTATTCATATATCTCGTCTGTGGTTCAATGCATCTTTTCAAATTTTCAACCGTACCATGTTTTAATGACTCGTTCAATAACTTTTTATATATGCAAATCTGAACATTTGTATTATTTGCTACAATATAATTTGTAATTTGTGATTTATCAATGGAGTCATTATTATTATTACATATTTTGTAACTATACAAATTGTATACATTGTCTATAGTATAGAATTCTATATTTTTCTGTGTCGTTTCCTACGTTCTCGACTGAGACGGGAATAAAAGTGCAGCGTTTACTAGCCGTGGAAATTAAAACTGAATGTGGTAAAAATTAATTATTTCTGAAAGCAATCAAAATCACAACTGTATACAATATAAATGCACGTGAATATATATTCAATGCATAGTTTTATCATTAAAATAGTACACAAGTGCTTTCAAAGTGTCGTTTCCAACGTTATCGATCGAGACTGGAATAGAAATGTCGCGCTATCACGTGTAGGAATTCAAACTAAATATGATGAGAATTAATTAATGATTTTTCATTTAAACATTCAGACTCGGGGTATTATCGTATTCTGTAATATAGTTAGATCATGAAAGCAATCAAGGAAAAGAAACAATTGTGTTGGGAAGATAAAATTTGTTCGTACGAAGTTTCGTTTCCAAGAAAAACGAGTTTTGAAATATATGAGGTTGCGCGTAACACTGTCCGAGTTGGACTTTGGTGTAAATAGAAACAGTGAGTAAAATGAACAGGCACGCCAGTCAAATCGTATTCAATCATACGTGTATACAAATTTTCAAATACCATTATCTTTAAAACGTAGCATTAAAAGAAAAATTTTATTCTACATTCTCAACTTATTTTACCACGAGGAATCATTGTGTAGAATAAATAAACATTTGGCAGTAAATTTCATATATCAATAAATCATGATGTTGTTAAAGAGCGAAAAATGTTAAAAGTCGTTTATTATAAATAAAAAAATAATTTAAACTTTTATATTTTACTGTAACATATTTGTTAAGTAATAAAACGTACAGAACTTTTGTTAATGAAATATGAAATAACTGTTAAAATCGAACTTTTACAACAGAATTAAAGCGTTAATAATGAAATAATTTGCAAAGTTAAAATTTTATTAAATACTTTTTATTTATAATACTTTACAGTTTCTTTCAAGTCCTGGAAATTCTGGGTCCACAGAAAAAGGTCAGCACGAATGACAATAATATATAATCTTGTAAGGTTCATTTATTATACAGGGGAGAAATTTTAATGAGAGATTATAGAGACCAAAATAAGATGAAAATCAAGAATAACAATTTGTTGATCGAGGCTTCGTTAAAAAGTTAATAGCGTTTGAAGTTGCGCCTGTAGAACGGCAATCTGCGGACAGCTGCGTGCATGGGATAGTGGTTCTCACTGAGCATAAGGAACTCTACTTCCTGACGTATCGACAGCCATACAGATAGGTAAGTGAGAACCACTATCACGCGTACGCAGCTGTTCGCAGACAGGCGGAACTTTAAACGTTAATAACTTTTTAATGAAGCCTCAATCAACAAATTGCTATTCTTGATTTTCGTCTTATTTTGGCCTCTAGAATCTCCCAATAAAATTTTTCCCAAGTGTGGCCGAACACCCTGTATAAGTGTTTTGAAAACACGTTATGACCACGATGGCAGACAACGTGTTAAATAAAAAGTACTCAATCGATTTCGAGAGCCACTCCAATTCGCTGTATATTATTGGCATCGAGAATGAGGAAAATTTCAGTGTCCTATCATACTGTCGCGAAGTGTAATCCCCTTAAGAGTCGAGGCGAGTGTCCACAGCGCAATCGTGGCGGGTATTCCCACTCTTTTAGTCTGCGTATGCCTCCGCGTTATTCGTCGGCGTCTCAGCGTGCTTGCCGCAACACGAGCACGCGGCAACGACTGCTGACCCCTCATATTGATCGACCTGGATCCGTAGTTCGCTTGTATCCGATTGCGCGGCTCGGGTGGCGCTTCAACGGACTGTGCCGCGACGTTCTTCGACGCTTACACGCTAGCGTAGTCGCAACCACTGCACCTGTCCGCGCCGCAACGTTGTTCTCTGCCCTACGTGGTATCGTCCACCGCCATGCTTGTGGTGCAGTGTTCACGAAATCGGTCAGGAACAGTGAATCGTCGACGATAGTTTCGGTGATCTGGATTTGGTAAAGTCACAAGGGGTTCAAGACCCATCCACCGAAACCTCTTCGTTGCTGAACATTGGTTACTACGGTCGAGTACCCAGGATATTCCTGTATGAGTTGTGTACGTATCGGCGAGGATGTAATTGACGGTCTAGAGTTTCTTCTTCGGATGTTACTTTGTTCGAATAATAGGAAACTTTATCGAATCCTGCATGCCGGTATCTAGAGTGTAACTCGTGAATCGAAATGTCATGAGGAGAATGTATGGAACGTGATACGTTGAAATCGTGCGTGGGTCGTTTTGCTATGGATTGATCACTTTTGTACTCGTCAGGAATTTTTTTCAAATTGAAATACGTTGTTCTTGCGTAAATAGAGGGGCTTTATGTCACCGTTTTGCTGTTTTTAAAATTGTTTAAGATATACAGGCTCTCGATGCTGGCAGCTTTTATAGATTTCCATGAAAAGAGTTTCCGCAACAGATGATTTATCTTCTGTTTAACATAGGAACTTTGATTTTTTCGTATTTTAATGGTTAAGGGTTGTTCTTATTAATTTTCTGTTGTACTCTTAAAGTTATTTTTGCAACGCGAAGATGTTAGGGTAATTCTTATTTTGTAAATTTGACCATTGATTTTGCACAATTCGAAATTTTCGTATTTCTTGTACTTTAGTCTTCCGATTGCATGTTTCTAATTTCCGGAAGTTCCAAAATTTACGTTAGGTCAACCTGGCGAGAGCTGCGGTGTTCTACATTTTAAATAGGCGCACCGGCCGGTAAAGTCTAAAATTTCGAATATCTTTCGTACTACAATATTGCATTCGGAGAAATGGGATTATTAGTGTTTTCAGTATAAACATTTTCCTTGTTTAATAAATAGGTAACGAATTCTCATGTTCTTGATATTCACAAATATAATCTATGGAATGGAAAGTTTGTCGGTATATCAAATAACTTAATTATCAAACTTTAGACGAAGTTTTCTATTCCTTGGACAATTTTTATTGTTACTCCCCATCTTAATTTTTTCATTATTTCAATACTACTGTTTGACGTTTTATGTAGATAAGGTCACTTTCAGAATAAATAGGAAACGGTAATAACGTGAGATTACGCATTTTATTTTGGTTTTCTAGATTTGTAAAATGTTCACATGCAGCGTTTTCGACTACCTCGGAGACAAATTTTAATGGCAGATTCTAGAGGCCAAAATAAGATGAAAATCAAGAACACCAATTTGTTGATCGAGGCTTTTTTAAAAAGTTATTATCGTTTAAAATTCCGCCTGTAGAATGGCAATATGCGAACATCTGCGTACGCGTGATAGTGGTTCTCACTCACAAAACTGTATGGCTGACGATACGTCAGTAATTAGAGTTTCTCATGCTGAATGAGAATACTAGCACGCGCACGCAGTTGTTCGCAGATTGCCGTTCTACAGGCGGAACTGTAAACGTTAATAACTTTTTAACGAAGGTTCCAACAATAAATTGGTATTCTTGATTTTCGTCTTATTTTGGCCCCTAGAATCTCCCATTAAAATTTTTCCCCGAGATAGCCGAACACCCTGTATACTACATATAGCAGTTAAACACAACATAAGTCATGCCGGGGTTAATAAAAGAAAAATTGTTAGCTTTGAGAATTTGTTATGCATCGTCAATTGCACAGTTACAATATTAAAATATTGTTGCACAATTAATAGGTTAAGAATGTTCCGCCAGCACGCTAACAACGCGCAGCTCCGCTCGCGCATCTCCCCTTCCCGTTCTTCTTTTCTCACACACACACACACACACACAAAATAAAAACAATCACACACACACACTCCCCTCTTGGTTTTATTGTCAACCCACCTCCAATACCTCCTTGATATTTTTAAACAACTTTGGGCCGCTCACAGCCTTTGTTAAGCAATCCGCTCGCATGTTTTCGCTGCGTACATGTGTTATTCGGATGTTACCTTTCTTTACATTTTCTTTCACAAAACAACATCGTCTATTTAGCAACTTAGATCTAGCTTTAAAATTACCTCCCTTTGCTAATTTCACTACATTTAGACTATCACACTTAATTTCTGTCATTATATCTAATTCCCCAGTTATTTCTTTTATTAATCTATCTAACCAAATGATTTCTTTCACACTCTCAGTCATCGCCTCCAGTTCACTTTCTGTCGAAGATAATGCTATAATAGATTGTTTTTTACTCCTCCATTGAATTAAATCGCCATTCCTATAAACTAACAGACCTGTAAACGATCGCGCATCTTTGGTTGCATCCCATGAGGCATCCGTATAGCAATCTATTCTATTTCTCCCACCCTTTCTACCAAAACATAATCGGTAACCGATGGTCCCTTTTAAATATCGCAACACTCTTTTCAACCCACACATGTGTATCTCTTTTGGATCACTATTAAATTGCGATAAGCAACTAATCGCATATGCTATATCTGGTCTTGTATTTACACCCAAGAACATTAGTCTACCAATAAGCTCTTGGAAATCGTTCACATCGCATTTGTTGGAATTCTCATCATTGTCCATTTTCACGTTAACATCTATTGGGGTCGATACGCTATTACACTCATTCATGCCATACATAATCAGCAACTTCTCTATATGTATAGTTCCTCTGGTGCACATAAATTATTCCCTTCTCATGCTCTATTTGCAGTCCCAAAACATGTCTCGCAACACCCATACTTTTAATGTCTATTTTTTCATTGATTTTTCTCATGTATCGCTGTTCAATCTCGTCATACAAAATAATTTGTATCCGAAAGCTTCTCTACTGCGGCGATATTCCAATTATCGGCCATAGCGTAGCACGTGTTCGTTTTCCCTTAACCTCACTTTCAAATAACACTCTTTTTCTCTCACGTCTGGAACCACGCTCTGCTACCAAATATAGCATTGCATCGAGAAATACAAATCAAAAGTAAGACTGTACGAATATTAGCTCAAAATAAATTACTTAACCGATTAGTTTTAGGTTATACTCTTATATCGAGATAGTTTATTGTTTTCTCGGTTCGTACACAGACGAGGTATATGAGTAGACCTTACATCCAATGTATTGTTTCATTGTTTGAATTTTAAATCATTAAAATTTTTCAATCCGTCCAGCAGTTATGATTTTTTAAACATACTTATGAAATTTCGGAGACACATTCGTGGCCACACAGTATATTTTTGATAAAGAATTTTTTTCTCGAAAGTACGTAGGATTTCGGGGGTATGTGTATTCACCAAAAATGATTGTCTTATTTTGGTCTCTAGATTCTCTAGAGGTCGAAACCCTGTATATCGAGTTATCGGTGATCTTAAACGGTCGCAAATCATTAATTAGTCACTCAAGATTAGTTTGGCAAGTGAAGGCTAGAAAATACGCGTACTACGAAGGTTAATTGGCCCTTACAAACCCAAAAGAACTAAAAAGGTAGTTCGCGTGAAGAATTTAGCTAGTACCCGACAGGACGGTACGTTTCACTCTATCTACTGATAAATATTCAATGGCTGAAAATTTTCTGGACAGCTCTTTCTGAAATGATTCGAAGTTTATGTTACAATCTTTTTTAAGGATGCTCATTTCTGTCTTCTTTCCAAATATTTTACACAGACAAATAATACCTGAAAATTAAATTCGGAATTGTCGTTTCGTTCCTTCAAGTCTGAATTTTTTCAATTGGATAAACAAAATGGATTCTTCGAGTGCTTTGATTTATTTGGGGTTCAATAAATATAATACATTTAATGTGCAGGGGTTTCGTATTTTTCTGTACACACTTCAGCAGTGTGTTGTACAAGTAAAACTAAGACTAAAATGTTATATAACAAAAAATCCATAAATGCTTTGTTAAGAAATTATAACAAAAATATGAACTGTGGAACTCGGTTGAGATTCAGGAGATTAAAATAAGAAATGAAATTTATAATAAAATAAAATCAATCTTTTGCAAGCATTCGATATCGTGAGTTTGTTTGTAATTTACTGAACATAAACTTGAACAATAGTTCAAAATTTTATGACAACAAAAAGTTATCATCGAAGAAAGAATACTTCAGCATCCAAGATAAATGATAGAAACTAAACTCTGATAAAGAAATGTTTAAGTTATCCACATAATTCTACGTTAAAAATATTTTTTCGTGCCTAAACTAGCAGTTGCTCTTTTTAAACAAAATTTTAGTAAATTTGTTTGTTTTTTAAATAAAAGAACACTACATTTCATATTTTTGTCACAACTTCTTAACAAAACATTTATGAATTTTTTGTTATATAATACGTTAGTCTTATTTTTACTTGTAGAATACAATGCTGAAATGTGTATGGAAAAAGGCGGAACACCTTGTATATGCAGATAGTATTAATTTAATTAAAAAATAATTTTTTTACATAAAACGTGCCACGTTCACAATAAAAATATTACTTAAAAATTTTTGGCTGATTTTTGTAATTATTAATGTGATTATTGCGGAAGTGTATTTTTGTATATTTTTTCGGTTTCGTCCAGAAATTGTAAATGGCGATTACAACGACATTTTTCTAGTACTCTCTTATTCCAGACAATGAAGCCATTGAAAGCGAACGGAAACCTATAAAAATCCAAGTTTACGATCGGTTGGTAACTTTAAAATTGTATTAGAACCATTAGAAGGTTCTATAACCTTATCTTCACGCCTGAAATTTTCATAAACAAATTAGTTAAATCTTTAGCTGGCATCCTGACGCGTCGATCATGTAAATGGAATCATTTACGACATGTTGGTGTTTTCTAGGGAAATTGATGAATGTGTTGATGAATCAGTTGTGTGGGATAAATGAACAATTGATATGTGTGTTAGAAAACATTAATATTATGTTGCTAAGAAATTCTTCCAACACTTATAACAATAATTTTGAATCGTTTTAATGGTTGTATGTTGAAAAACTTGGAAATGATGTTGAAAAATTTCCTTAACAATCTAATTTCAATAATTATAAAAAACATTAAAGAAAACGAACAGAAAGTACGATGGATTTCGTTATTCTTAATATCAGAGAAAAATGACTAAAATAATGTATGAAAATAATAGAAGAGAATATAAACTAAATTTTTTTCAGTAGAATAAACC